AAAAAAGGCAGAGAAGAAGAGGGGTATTGATGAATTTTTTTGGGATTTCTTCTCTTGGAAAGTGCAACAAGGGCTAAATCACATAAAACCAATGTATTTGGGGCCAATACACATAAAAAATAATATGGGGGGGTTAGGACACATGAAAAATTTATTTTTCGGGCCTTGACACAATTTGCCCTTATAGCTATCACCATGAATTTGTAGTTAGAACTATATATTACTTTGAATCTTTCAATTGATGATTCTTTCAAACTATTCAAGTGTTATTTTACACATCTGAGGCATCTTTTGGGTACCATGGTGTTTTCTTTATTATGTTTTTGTAAAAAAACACCATTGTGATGTGTTTTTCCCTTAAAACGTTTTCAAAATACCACGTTAAGTATTTTTGGTCAACACTAGTTTGACCCATTACAACATCAATATTAAACATATTATTAATATATTATATATTAATCATAATAAAATATATTTTAAATAAAATATTATAATATTTAGTTTACATTACTATATTATTAGAAGTATTAAATATAATGCAATATAAAATTGTATAATGTATTATAATATTATATTGTACTTAATGAGTTATATTATATTGTAATTATTATATATTATTTTAAATAATTATATATTTAATTATTTTGGTATATCAATTTGTTATTGTTATATATTATATTTAATATTTTTATGATATGTTATTTTATTATTAATATAATATTATACTATTATTAATATAATATAATATTATAATATTATTAATATAATATTATTATGTTATTACTAGTATGTTATTAATAAATTAAGATGTTATAAATAATTTAATATTATGGTCGCTTTACTATAGAGTATATTTAATAGTATATTTATAATATATTTAATAAATTTTCTGATATAAATAAAGCATTATTATATTATGAAATATATTAATGCTTTATCGTTAACATTGTTAGCAATAAATTAATTTTATTTATTATATAATATATTAATAATTTATATCATATATATATATTTTACTAATATGCAAATATATATTATACATATTATTATTATATGCTATTTTATTTTAAATTAGATTATCTATTATAACTAATATTGTTATAATTATATAAGTTACAGTTTATTTATTAAAAAAAGTTAATAATATTATACGGGCTATATGCTAATGGTGTAAGTATTTTATTATATCATTATTATATTATTATTTATTATTAATAAATTTTTTATTATGTTTTATTAGTTTATTTATATATTATTATTATTTATTATTATATAATACATTGTTAACATATTACATACTAGAATTTAATATGTTATTATATTGTTATATAAGATATTTTATTTATTATATTTTTATATTATTTAAAAAATATTACTAATATATTAGATTAATTATAATATAGTATAGTATAGTATAATAAACATGTTGATAATAACTCTATGTTAATTACATTTAATATATTATGTTAGATATTATATTAACACCTTCTGAAACTCAAAACCAAAACACCAAACTTAAAACACCTTTTAGGTGTTTTGAAATAAGTGTTGTGTTTTTGGTTTGAGGATGATTTAGCTCAAAAAACATCATGATTTCCAAACGTATGGTATTTTATTTTTGGCAAAAACACTATGGAAACAAGTAAAACACCATGGTATCCAAACGGAGCCTAAATTATTAGTTTTCCTACTTATTATTATGCGGTAAACTATCTACTATAAATAGCAACAATTAAGGGCTTAAATAAATTTGCTTATTGATTCTAGAAGTTAAACAAATGACTAAAAGGAACACATCACACTCAAAAACAGTAGAACAAGAACCTTGCACCACTTCTCTCTACTGATATGAAGAGAGCGACATCTTATGAGCAATTTAAAATTTTCAGGATAGAGATATTTAATAGCTCTTTAATTTTTTACTTTTATTGGTTAATTTAGAAAAATCCCTCAATAGTTTGTAGGACTCATAAGAGATCCTCAAGATGAGGTTTTAAAAGTTACGTTTTTTGCCTCCTTATTTTCAAATTCCCCATTAATACAGTCCATCCAAATTAATATTGCAAATATATAAACATACCATGTGAATTCTGTAAACCCTAGAGGGGTTGCTGCGGTTAATCAATTTGTTTGATGGCAATTTCATGATCTTTAGGATATAATAAATGTTGCTACCCACTCATGCAAACTGTGGACTCTGAGATATGTAGAAAGATTTTCAATAAGCAGGTAAAATTTCGATACTTTGAATTAATCAGGGACATCATAGCATTCTAATTAAGGTCCAAGAGTTAGGTTAAGGTTCAGGAAAAACCACGTAATCAAAATATAATAAGAAGTTTAACTTAGTAGACTCTTCACATCTTCATCCAGTAAACTAAACGCATAGAATTGAGTTCATTTCATAACAAATAAGCAGAGTAGGAAAATGTTATTGAAACCTAAAGACTACGTACAAAATGTAACCGAATACACCTCTTTGTTAACCCAAGGAACAATAAAAACTTCAAGAAAACAATTACAAATAGAATATTGAAGATTAATGAGGTGATGCTTAGCAAGCAATATGGAAGAGGCGGTGGAACGGAAAAGCCCAAGAGCAGCCCAAGTCTGAACGAACTTTTCAAGATTGGGAAGAACTTCTTTTTTTAGTTAAGGGGATATTTGGATGTTTACACCTCATCACTTTTTATTTAGGTATTTACATTGTTCAGTGGAACAGTAGCTTATGTGATATCTACATCATTTCTAGTCAATACACTTTTAATTTTACGCACTTATTATATATGTAAACACTCAAAACTTTTATTAAAACGTTATACCGTAATATTTTTTTTTCTTGAGTTACTTCTTTTTGAGAGCTTTCATTCATTTTTATTTTAGACTTTTTATATGCATCCGAAGATATCTACGTGCAATATACGTATACTATACTAGTGTGTGTGTATGTGGGTGTGTGTGTGGGGCAGAGAGAAAGGGAGATTAAATATGTTGAGACTCATGACTTGATGAGAGTTAATCTCTTGGAATCGCTATTCCTCGAAGTAAATTAACCAATCCATACCATAGGATTTTTTTATTTTTTATTTTTATTTTTATTTTTGGTTGAAATGAAGTACAAAGATATGTTAAACACTTAAGAAGATCCCATGCTTACAGTTGAATACAAGAACTACGTATAAAGGTGGAGTCCGTCAATAGATTAAAAAATTGATTTAGGATCACAAACAATAGTTGCAAACAAGAAAGACAAACTAATTGAAGTCATCATCATATACATTCTAAACAAAAATAAGCTAACAAAAAAAAAAAATTTATTTTGAAGAATTTTGTCCTCTTCGTTAACGTTGCTTATGAACCTTACATCAACCTTAACTATTTAAACTCAACTTGAAATTGTAAATTGATTAAAAATTTTGCCGTCCTTTGCCTTTTTAATATGTTTTTTTTTCTCCCAATATGTCGCCGTCTTGGATTAAAAATGAAGAACAAGAGAGTTCCCAGTGGAATAGAAATGAGAAGGCTTTGGGCCTTTTCTTCATTGGGCCACGAATGGAACACATTGCATTCCAACTTTGATGCGGGGGGACAAATCAAATAGTAAGGAAGAACCGAAGAAGGAACTCAATAAATTGTTTGTTTCTTTCTATTTTGATTTTTGTTGAGATACCCTTTTCGTTTCATTCGTTGAAATATTTAGGATTAAAATTGGATCATGAGAGATCTCAAGTTCAACATTGATTTTTTTTATTATAAAATTATTACAAACGATATCCCTTGGGTGTAGATCCTATGTAACTTAGATGGGCCTAATGATAACAAGAGGCCTTCTAGGCCTTTGAGGATGTGAAGAATCAATATATTAGCAATTCCCTCTTACTTCTTAAAACTTCCCGCTTATCAGAGGGCCTAATTAGAGCATCTCCAACAGCTTCCCCATTTTATTGGTATTCTCATTTTTATAGAATTTTAGGTTTTTTTTTGGTCCAACAGATTCCTCATCACATTCCCAAAAATAGGGATGGAGGAGGAAAAAAGGGAGTCTTCCAACCTCTATCCAGGCTCCGGCTTTTGTTAGAGAAACAAAAACAGAAGAAAATAAGTAAACAAAAGCTTAGGAGCTACGTGAGAATGCTTAAGCTACGAGCCCTATAATGTTAGTTGCCCAAAAGTACCCAAAGGCCCAAAGATAGCCTACATAGTCTCTTATTGTACCCGTCAACTCGAATTCAACTAAGGATGCAAATATTTGACAGAATTCAACTAAGGATGCAAATATAAATGAAACATTTGTATCTGGATATCAGAATATATGTATAGTACCCCATTGGTGGATTCATGTGGAGCAAAGTGATGGGAAAATCCATATTTTCTGGCATAGGCAAAAATCCATATTTTCTATCATGAGCAATTCATAATTTCTATAATAGGCTTCTGTTATTCCTACCTTAAACAGATGTTGCTATATTTTGACTTAATTTATTTGGTATTTACTTATTAATCATGTACCGTCACCACTTTTTCAGAAACCTTGAATCTACCACTGTGATTATTTTGAAAGTCGAAATTTGTTTTAGTTTAGACTAAAACAGGGTTGAGAGCACTTTTGGTGCTATTTACACTTAAAATATCACACAACATTAATTAAAAACAAAAAGGGGGAGAAAGAAAAGAAAAGAAAATTAGATGGCCTCTCAAATTTATCAGCTAATTAACCTCCCAACCCAACGAAACCTTTACGATTGTGATTTTTATGTGACGCTCTTGAAAGCTTTTCCTGCTATTTAAGAAATCGCCGACGTTTATCTAAACTTGTCCTAAACGAATCATAAATCCGGTCCACGGATCAAGACGAATTTTAAACCCGAGCCCTCTCAACCGTCCGATCAATAGAATAGAAAAGTTCCCCCAAACCAACGACGAAGATTAGCCTCGCACAGATAAGCACAAAAAATAAAACCGGACGCGATAACAGTACATTCGACAGTAGCTCCTTCTACCCGAGGGGGGGTTAAAAAAAAAATAATAATAATAAACAAAACGGAAGGAGGCGTTTTTTCTCCTCGAGGATCAAAATCAGTGGGTCTTGAGGTAATTTCTCTCGATTTTTCGTTCGTTTTATGATGTTTCCAGCTAGGGTTTCTGCTTTTACGTTCTCCATTTGATGGGTTCTTTTGGAGGTCGTAGTTAGGTGAAAACCCTAACCCTAAAAATCTGAAGTTACTTTCTGCTCCTTTGATAATTTTTCGCCTATTGGAGTAGGGTTTTGTTTGCAGCTGGATTCTTCTGGTTGCCCACGAACCCTAAATCTCTCGGGATGGTCTTATTTATTTATTTATTTATTTATAGTTTTCCCTATTTGTTATGCGGAATTGAATGTTTGGAGCTTTTATTATTATTTGCTCTAATTTTTGTCTGATATGAGTAGGGGACTTAGAGTACCTGTAGCATAATTTAATGGGGGGAAAACAGAGAGACTCTGTAGTTTTAGGGTTTTTGTTTTCCTTTTCTTTCTGTTGACGTGAGCCATTTATTCCTTCATTCACGATTTTGGATAAAACAAGCAAGAGACCAGTCTTTCCAATTGTAATCGTTGGTAACGGCTTTATGTAGTCGTATTGCTGATGTTATGAAGCGAAGCCTACTGAAGTCAAATGTAATGCGTAATATTCGAAACAATCACTTTACTTGGGTTGCTTCGCTTTATAAGCAATAATTGTTTATGGATTTAAATTGAGCAAGCTCTATATGTGCATACTTTTTGTGAGATCAGTTATGATGCATATGCCACAAACACAGTGGATACTTGCTGATAGAACAAATGTATCTTTAATTGTAACGTTTCTTTGTTGTTCCATTGTTTATTTCACATTGGCTGTGTTCATTTGTTTGCCAAGCTTTTGATATTTTTTTTCCGGTTGAAGATTTATTCTTATTGTGCTGGGCCCAAAAGAGTTGGGATAAAGTTTTGTTTTTATTGTTATTGATTTATACTTGTTCTCTTACATTTTACGAGACGGGTCATTAGACTGTGTGCATGCTTCCCATCCATTTCTTTTGCTCTCTTTTTCGCATCATTTGACATGGATCCCTTGTTTACTTTATCATTCGGGGAAGGTAGTACTCACAACATTGTATTTAACAACCATGTTTGTGGAAGGTTTTTTTTTGGCACAATCTTAAAGTAGATCTTGTGGCTTATGATTTCATTTAGCAACTAGTAGACTTGCAAAAAGGTAGTCTTATGCTATTTGTTTCGTGTGGAAATCCTTGGAAACCCATGGAAAGCCTCTAACACCATCAGCAAAGGAAAAGAAGTTTTCCAAAGGTTTCCGATTATTGTGTTTGGTACACAACTTTTTAAAGATAGGTTTTCCTAGAAGTGGGGGGAAACATCAGTTTTTGCAAGGAAACGATAGGTTTTCGTAGAAGTGGGGAAAACACCAGTTGTTGCAAGGAAACCAATTCCTCTCCAAAAAAGAGGAAATGGGGGTGGAAAAGGTAGGAAAGGTGCCTTTTTATTATTTAAATAATGGATGATGATGGGAATAGGTAAAATATAATAGTTAAATAATAAGAGAGGTTTCCATCTCAATTCGTTTCTTATTTTTGACTTTTGAACCAAACAAAGGAATGGGGTAGAAAACGTTGCTCCCCTTGTTTCCATGCTCGGGGGAAAATTTTGTTTCCTAGAAACATATGGAAAAGGGGGTGGATATATATATCTATACACACACATATATCTTATACACACACACACACACACGTATATGTATATATATATCTACATGTATACATACATATATCTACATATATACATACATATATGTATGTATACACACACTGACACACACACACTACACACGCACACGTACATGCATATATACATATGTACATGTATATCTACATATATACATACAAATATGTACATATATACGTACATATGTACATACATATATCTACATATATGTATGTATACACACACACACACTACACGCACACGTACACGCACGCACTCATGCACACACACACGTACACGCCCACGCGCACGGGCCCACGCACGCACATGCCCACGCCCACGCACATGAGCGCACACGCATGCATGCACGCGCACACGCGCGCGCGCACACACAACACAACACACACACACACACACACACACACACACACACACCCCTACATACATATAGATACACACAGACACATACATACGTAGGAAACCAAACAAACACGCCCTTAATTTTGCATTTTTTTGACTAGGAGAAATCATGTTATTTTGGTGCTAGCAGTGTGCTAACATCTAGTTTCTTCTGGAAAATTAGGAGTAATTTTCCACGATGGGCGATTCGGAAAATGTTGCATCCAAGAAGAGGGTTGCTGGGAGACAAATCTCAAAGGAGAATCCTGAGCTTGATGATGATGGTCCTGAACCGGAAATGGGGACTTTCAAGAAAGCCAGTGATGAAGTATTGGCAACCAGGAGAATTGTGAAGGTACGGCGCTCCCAACCCGCAGTAGCTTCTTCCAATCCTTTCGCTTCTCTTGGCATGGTTCCGCCATCTGACTCCATTGCAAATGCCACCACCAACACTTCTAATGGTGATGAGGTGGGAGCAAAAGATGGTGCTGATGAAAATAAGGAAACACCTGTAGAGGGTAAAGGAGAAGAAAGTGGTTCTTCAATCAATGAATCAAATGGTGAGGACAGCAACAAGAAAGTTGAAGAAAAAACCTGTTTTCCATCTGCTAAGGATGCTAGTAAGGTTGAAGGTGATGCAGTTGAAGAGGAAACTCCAGTTATTGAAGCTGAGAAAGATGTCAAAAGTGGAGAAGCAGCTAAGGAAATCAAAGAAGAAACTGAAAAGAAATCTAGTGGAGAAGAAACTGAAGATGGAAATGCCCACGAAGAAAAAGCTGAGAAAGAAAAGCTGGAGAATGCTAACAAAGATGCTGATGGAGCCAAGCCATTTGCATCTCTGAGTTCATTTCATCAATTGTCTAGCAGCCAAAATGCCTTCACGGGATTTGCAGGAACTGGATTTGGAACGTCCTCACCATTTTCTTTTGGTTCAGTTGCCAAAGAAGGCGCAGAAACTTCCTCTAGAACCTCGCCATTTTCTTTTGGTTCAATTACCAAAGAGGGGGCAGGAACTGCCTCTGTAACCTCTCTATTCTCTTTTGGTTCAAGTTCTGGTCCTTCTGCTGCAGCTTCTGGGCATGCTTTTGGATTTAAAAGTGAAAACCCTTCATCTCAATCTTTTGGTTTTGGGGCCTCTAACAATGGAAGCTCCAAGGAGGTGCCTATTGAGACAGGTGAAGAGAACGAGAAGGCAGTATTTGCTGCAGATGCTATTCTATATGAGTACTCAGATGGAGGATGGAAAGAGAGGGGAAAGGGTGAACTTAAATTGAACATCTCTTTATCCGATGCCGAGAAAGCAAGGCTTGTTATGAGAGCAAGGGGTAATTATAGGCTGATTTTAAATGCATGTCTTTACCCAGATATGACGCTTACAAATATGGACAAGAAAGGCGTTACTTTTGCTTGCATCAACAGTGCTGGAGAAGGAAATAATGCACTTTCCACATTTGCCCTCAAATTTAAGGATAGTAGCTTTGCAGAGGAGTTTCGAGGAGCTGTAGCAGCAAACAAAGGAAAGAAGAACACTGTATTGAAGACACCTGAGAACTCTCCCATAGCATCTGATGGTTGAGATGGAGCATACTGTTGCAATTACTTTGAGGAATCTCTTTTGTCGACTTCTGCTGGAAGCCTTTTTATCTTGTGATGCCCCATTTTGTTGTTGAAGTTTAGTTTTTTTAGGTTACATGAAACTCGTCAGTTATTAGCCTAGTCCGGATTATAGTCATCTTATTTTGCAATAACTAAGAGAGGGCCTAAGTATAATCTTCTTGTTGCAATCTTGTGTCTTGTATCATCCACCATTTTGATGACCCGTACTATATTACTGTCTCAAATTTCAAAGTTTACCAATGGGAATATGTCAATGCTTTGTCACTTGCATGACTGAAATGCTGCTATTTTTCTAAGCATGCCTTTTGGTAAGGCTGTTGTCCCTTTAAAAACATTGCAGGTTTCACTGTTTAGTTAATGTAATATTACTGATGTATTACATCGCTCACCATGGAAATATGAGTTTTGATCCTGTATAATACTTTTGGATTTGGAGCTTACAAGCATTGGAAATGCTTTCAACTGTAATCTTGCCCTGTTCCTGATATGTTTCTTATCATAAGAGTTCAATCCTCCATCTTTCGACTAAGTATATTTCTTCAGCGATGTTGTAGTTTCTTTTGTTAGCTTTAAGCAGGATGGATCTGACTTGTATTTTTTCCGCCTAATAATATTAGGATTTGGCAAACTCTGAAGAATTAAGTTCAATCTCTTGATAGGGACACAATTACACCGATTGGCAGATCTATGCAAGACCAAATCGTAGGCTTTTGGAGGGGTCTTTTTGATGGTTAGGAGATGAATGTTTCTTTGTTGCATATTTCATGTGAAAAGCATTGTGAATAAACTCTGCAGCAATTTTAGGGCTGAGGAGAAAATCAAAGTTACGTCTATCTGAATTTAAAGATGCGTGATTAGGTCTGTCAAGCTTATATGCAAGGCATGTCGATGCAATACAAAATTGCGTAAGTTTGCTGTCAGTGTATTTTTTGGAATTATATGGGAGGTTGGCTGGTTGTTAGAATTTACATGAAGGGCTTTCGTATATGAAGGCTGATGACTGTTGAGGTTTTGATCAAACTTGCACGTACTAAGTGATCTAGTAACTAGTTCATCGAGCAGAGAATATGTTTTCTGTCTGAGTTCTGTGGAGCTTATTACTGAAATTGCTGATGACAATTAAAACATCATACGAACTTACGAAAATATTTAGCCCTTTAATGTGAGTGTTCTCGAAAACTTCGTGCTTTTCTCCACTCACCGCAGGCAACATTAAGCAAAGGTTTTTTATGGGCGAAACTGAGAAATTTCTATTAGGGTCCATTTTGCTATCTGCACATGTAATGCTTATCAAAGTGTATGTGCTGAAGCCTCATCTCCAATTATATCAAGTTTATTTGCAATTTGTACACTCATATTTTCTTGTAGTTGTTGCGAAATTTCAGGGTGAAATGGGAATTCAACTTTCGGAAGACAGTGAAATATTCTTGTAGTAAGAAGTTACTATTTTGTAAATGACCATTTGATATGAGAAATAGGTGAATGTATTTCATAAGCGTCTCTAGTACATGATACTAGACAAATTTGTGTTACTTTAGTTTTCTGCAACACTTACTGTTGCTGCTTATTAATATTGCATACGGATCTTTGCCAAGCTTTTGAAGATCTATGGCAGAACTACGTGAAATGGATGATTAAGCTCTTACGTACGTTGTTGGGCCAAAATTTTATGTATATTTGTTTCTGATTATGAGGGTAATGACTAATACTCGATAAACTCGCTGAAAATTTGACGTATTACCCAATAAAAGCAGAGGTCTTTGAGCTCTATTACCTGTGAAAATTTGTTAGCAAGGTAGTCATGCTGTCTTAAAATTTGGAAATGAATACTGATTGATGATCTTTTTTTTTTGGGTGGTGGCTTCAGTTTTGTAGATATTTTGAAAGTTTCTCCTGCTTTTAATGTACTGCAGACAATATTCAACTTGGATAATTTGAAAACCTGATTTGATAGCTGTAGTTAACTGAAATTTGTTCTGTCCAGTATTGAAGTCTATATTTTCCCAGACTGAGGTCCTTGTTGGGACACAAGGCTTTCTATATGACTTGACTCCTTGAAAAATGGTAATTAGAGGAGGTTTAGAAAACTTCTTCAGATCTAAGAGTGTAAAATACACTTTGTTATACATGTCATACTTGAAAGTGAATTATTTTCTGTCCCCGTTGGCATTAGAGTCTTAGATGGTAAATCGTATCATAAAACCCCGTGGTGTTCTGATTTTTCTGAACCATAAAAAAAAAACAGTTAAAATATCCAAAGTGACCTTTTACCTTCTCATGAATAGCTAGCTCAAAACATCATGCTCGCATGCGGGATGTTCTGGAAAAAAAAAAAGTACTCTGAAGACGATGTTCTATTCAATGTTGAGTACCAACAGGAAAGAGCAGGAACTGAATAAAGCTTAGACCAAGAGGTGTAGTACCAAAGGCATGTGCATGCATCTTTGATGTCAAGAACCTAAGCCTCTGCTTTTTTATTCTTGCTGTTTCAATATGATTTTTCTACTGTTTCATGTGTTTACAGGAATCTTCTTTCCTTTATGTTTGCTTGTTGCTCTTTCTTTTAGATTGTAAAAGGCTCAACACAAGCACAGCTCTGAGGATAGAACCGTTTCTTTGTGGCTCACTACTGAGTCCCCATCACTTTTATATGTTATTATTGCTACTCTTTTTGTTTGCATTTGTCATTTTCCCATCATTCTCTTTTGGGATCAGTCATCCAAAGTAGTGTCAAGTATATTTATGAAAATGAAGAACTCAGGTCAGAGTTCGGCTTTGGGAGTGGGAGGTCTCTCTTCCTCAATTATGCATCTGGAGGTTTGCTGACTACGGATCCACTTTGGATGAACGTAGTTCATCAGTCTCTTCCTCAATTATGCATCTGGAGGTTTGCTGACTACGGATCCACTTTGGATGAACGTAGTTCATCAGTAGATTTTAATGTACATATTAAAGGGAGAGGCTGACTACGGATCCACTTTGGATGAACGTAGTTCATCAGTAGATTTTAATGTACATATTAAAGGGAGAGGCTTGCATTCAGTAGCAGATAAGTTAGCGTAAAATCTAATCAGATCTACATGATATCAAATGATGCATGCAAACATAGATCTCACTAAATATACCCGTTAGAAGAAAAGGGTGGACAAGCGTTGTTGTGTATCGTACGTAATATAATCACCGGTAGAAGTGCACGTCAAAGGCAAACAGATTGATCAGGCTGTCGCTTGCAAGGAATAATTCCCCTAGGCTTCCTTCTTTTTTGGGAATAAGTGAATAACACCTTTTCCTTGGTTAAAAATAGAAATAAAATAAACAAACTTAGGACTAAGATTTTTATTCTTCTAAGATGTTAAAAATAAACTATGGTAAAAGAAAGATTAAGGTTTTTCAAGAATATATTATCCTAGCTAATCTACCATATATTTTTGAGAAACATTCTCCCAAGGGAGGATCTACATACAGTCCAGGGGGGGTCACGCCCCCCCCCCCCCCCCAATTTTGGGGAAAAAAAAAAGGAGGCTCTATGTGCTCTATTCCTCAAGCCCCCTCAAAATTTTTGGGGGAAAAATTAGGGTGCTCTATTCCTAATTTGGAAAAAAAAATTAGTTTGTGAATATTAATTATTTGAGGGGTTTTATGTATATATTAATAGTAAATACATTACCATGAGCAGCAACAAGATTAATAAATGGGGTTTCATTGAAATTGGAAATTTATGGAGAGGTATTTAGCGAATGGTTATTCTTAAGGGGGTTTATTAATAAAGGGGGTTATTCTTAAGGGATTAATAAATGGGATTTCATTGAAATAGGAAAAGATAATGTATCTTCACTCCATCGTAATGCTGAAAAGGCATGTGAGGATTTGATGAACCAACCGCAGCATATATCAAGGCGATTCGACAACTTCAATGCTGAACAAGTTGTAACAAATCGTCTTCGGTTAAGAGCTCACATACTTGTGGTGCGATTGCTTGCACTCCAAGGGTCGTCTTCGGTTAAGAGCTCACATACTTGTGGTGCGATTGCTTGCACTCCAAGGGATTCCGTTTAGAGGTCACGATGAGAAATCTAGTTCGTCCAATCGTGGTAATTTTCTTGAATTTTTGGATGTGCTGGCCATGGAGAATGACGAACTTTTAAAGGCAATTGCGAAAGCTCCCAAAAATATCAAATATACAAGTCATGATATTCAAAAACAAATACTTCATGTGTTTTCAGTGAGATTGAAAAATACAATTCGTGAAGAAATTAGAGTTGCCACGTATTGCATTATTGTTGATGAAGCCCGTGATGAGTCAAAAAAGAGCAAATGTCTATTGTGTTGCGGTTTGTGGACACTAATGGATTCATTTAAGAACGTTTTTTGGGCTTGTTCGTGTTTCCGATACTGTAGCTTTGACTTTAAAGAACACCATATATTCTGCTTTGGCTCATTACAATTTGGATGTTCAAAATATTAGAGGTTAAGGTTACGATGGGGCCAGTAATATGAGGGGTGAATTCAATGGATTGCAAACTTTGATTATGAAAGATTGTAAGACTGCTTACTATGTTCATTGCTTTGCTCATCGGCTACAGTTGGCTCTTGTTGCGGCAGCAAAAAATCTGACTCCTATTCATATATTTTTTGATAAATTAATTTCTATAGTTAATATGGTTGGTGCTTCTTGCAAGCGTAATGATGAATTGAAGAAAGCTCACGCGGATGACATTGCCCATTTGATTTCTATTAATGAACTCGAGACAGGGCCTGGACTTAATCAGATCAGCACTTTACAACAAGCTTCTAATACGCGTTGGAGTTCTCATTTCAGATCATTATCAAGTTTGATCAGGATGTTCAGTGCAGCATGTACGGTGTTGCTCAAAGTTATGGAGGATGGACTTCCTTCCCAACGAGCCGATGCAACATCTGTTTATGATGAAATGACTTCGTTCGATTTTGTACTTATCTTACATCTAATGAGTGAGATTATGGGGATCACAGATTTTTTTTGCCAGACTTTACAAAGGAAGTCTCAAGACATTTCGAATGCAATGAAGCTTGTGTCATCTACAAAAAGATTACTACAAGAGTTAAGGGATGACAAGTGGGATAATTTGCTTGAAAAAGTGAAGTCTTTTTGTGCGGCTCGTAACATTAATATTCCTGATTTTAGTGCTCAGTGTGTTGATAGACGACGTCGAGCTCGTGGTCATCAAGACATCACCATTGGGCATCATTATCGAGTAGACTTTTTTATGCCGCGGTCGATTCACAAATGCAAGAAATTAATGTGCGTTTTAGTGGAGATGTGACAGAATTGCTCATGCTTAGTTCTGCCTTAAATCCTCAAAATGCATCTGAGGCTTTGAGAATACAAGATATATGCAAATTGGTTGGCATGTTTTATGCACAAGATTTTACAAGTGAAGAAAAAGAGAGTTTGAAGATGCAACTAAAACATTATGAGCATAATGTAGTCAAAGGGTCATACTTCAAAACTCTTTTAACCATTTCTGAGTTGTGTCAATGGTTGGTAAAGACTAATAAATCTGCTACATACGACCTCATTTTTAGAGTGACCGTACTTGTGCTTACTCTTCCAGTTTCTACTGCTACTGCAGAACGATCATTCTCAGCTATGAATATCGTCAAAACTAGGCTTCGAAGCAAAATGGAGGATGCTTTCCTCTCCGACGCATTAATGGTATTTATTGAAAGAGAAATTGCTAAAAGTCTGAGCATTGATGCTATCATTGAAGACTTTGAAAATTTTAAGGAACGTCGAATTCCTTTTAGTTAGAGAAATTTTAGTTATAAAAAAATAGATGATGCTTATTTGACTATTTTCTATATAATATTTGTCTTCCTCTTTTGAAATATTTTGGAGATATTGATGTTGGCTATTCTACTCGTTTTATTTGGGTTGTGGTATATCTCTTGTGAATAAAATTACATTAAGAAAATTTTTTATCTATCTTTTGTACGCGGCCCCCCCAGAACTAAAATCCTGGATCTGCCCCTGCATTCTCCACACGCAAATCTGAATTTTAGATATCCCACAATTTGAAATTCCTTTTGAGATATGACGTCGTCTCCAGATGCCTATAAATATATATAAAGTGAGGTGATGAGTTCTGATGATCTGGAATCTTTTGAGATTTGATTTACAAAGAAACTTTTAGAAATCTAATTCTACAAAATATTTATCTTGTTCAAATCTATAAATATATATATGTCAGATGAGGTTTTAAGAACATATGCATGCAATTTTTTTAAATGATATTGGCTACATATAGTGAGAAATGAACAATGGTTTCCTTCATTCTCAAATAATAGTATGCATTCAATTTTTTTTAAATGATATTGGCCACAGGGTGAGAAAAGAACAAGGTTTCCTTCATTCTCAAATAATAATAGAAAGATAGACATATTTTTTAGTATACTGGCATCTCTAAATGAATGGCTCCGGAACATGTAGATTTAGGAGAGCCTCTCACATAAATTTGAAAGATTTGATGAGCACGTACTATATCTAAAACATCTGTAAATTATTTATCATGGTCCAAGTTAACCTGATAAAAAAGTTCTAAATAGATTAGTTAAATTATCACAAAAAATAAATTTCCCTCACAAAAAGACTTGCATGTGGCGTAGGAGAAACCACATGTCTAAGCCTTAACGGGAGTTTGAAGAATCTTGGATGTATCAATATTGAAGAATAAGAAAAGAAAAAGAAAAATCTATGATAACAACTCATAACTAAAAAAGAAACTGTTTCATTGGGGGGAAAAAGGGGAAAAAGGAAAAAAAAAAAAACATTAGGTCGTAGATGAGTTTGACGCTTTAAAGTGACCAATTACACATGAAAGTCTTTAGCTTGTGTAAAGCATAAGCTCTTCACTTTAAAGATTTAAGTATATAAAAGCTTATACGAAAATATATATGAAGCCCTCCAAGCAAGTCACTGAAAGCTAAGGAAGGAAAGTTTCTTAGTTTCCTAATTTCACCACCATTTTCATCACCATTTCTATCTCTTCAATCTCTCCTTAATTTCTCTTCTCTCTTTCTCTGAGATCGCGACGACGGCTGGTTTTTCAGAAACTTCTATAAGGATCTTCTTCTTTGCCCTTGAAGGTTAGTTTTTCTTGTTCTTGATTCTTGGACCTCACAATTCATCTGCATTTTTGTTCATTTATTTTGAAGTTCTCATTGTTTATCTGATCCAAATATATATGTAATTGGATTTGTAATTGATTTTCAACATATTTAAAACTAGTAGTTGCTTTTGTCATTCAAGGATTTTGTAATATAACGATGTTGCAAACCTAATGCATATTATAATTTAAATAATTTTCAGAATGAATGCCGACAAAAATAATTTTTATGTTGAAAACTCGAATAACAATGAAAATAAATATTATATATACTTAACTATGTTAACGATAAGTCATTTCAATAATAAATAAGACATATGGATAACAGTATGAAAGTTAGAAAGACAATAATCAATAGTAGGTTTTTTTTTTCGAGGTTGCAAGAAAACATTGAGTAATGAAGAGTGCAATTTAAGGCGTCACATAACGAGTCGGTTCTATTTTGCAAGACAAAAACCCCGCTTTTAATTTATACGTATAAAAAGAAAAATCTGTACTACGTATTAATTAAAGAAGTAAAAGAAAAAGGGTTAATTGCGGACGGACCCGGACCCTCTGTAGGATCACACAATTGTGAAAAGACTATGTAATTCTATTTTTTAAAATAGACCTCTTAAGTGAACTTTTTTTATTCTTAAAATTGTTAAAATGGTTTGAGGAGGCAAGTAAAACTTCTATAGTTCTATTGGTGAATAGTGACCATCAATTGCTGTTTTTTTATTTTTTAAAAGAGTCGAAAAAGTTCAATAAGGGGTTGTATTCACACCTGAGCCGCTTAGTACTAAAGGGGGTCTATCCTTCCCAAATAGAACTACAAGTGGTCTATTCATAATTAAGTGATATTAAAGAGGATCTATTATCAAATAACCCAAAAGAAAAAGATAAAGCTATAGACGGAGCTCTTTTTTCCCCCCTTTACTTTATATATGCTTGGCCGTTACTTTGATCGCACTATAGAAACTTTTAAAAGAAAGAAACTCGTGGGATGTTGATGACGTCATCTCCCTACGAAGTGGGGGCAATGTGCAAGTGGGTGCGGGATTGAGTGCTTTTCATTTTTGTAATTTAAGTTGTTTGGAAGAACTATAATTAAGAACATTATTAACCTCTTACTAAATTGAGGTTAGGATGGTAAAAAATATAATACTGTTAAGATAATGTGTGTGTTTGCTTGAAAAAAAAAACAAATGATTGTTTCTGAGTTCTCTTGCTCTTTGCTTAGAAATTATACTAAGATATATTGCTAAGGACAGAATGAAGGTTAACTAACCAGGGAAAGGTCCATATAGTACTATTACTGATTAAAAGGTTAAATTTCGAAAATACCCCCTAAAATTTGGGTGATTTGCATAGAACTCCTTGGAACAATAGAAATTTCAAAAGTCCCTTGAAACTTTGATAGATTTGCACAAAACCCCCTAAACTTTAAACATTAGAGGAAACACCCCAAAACTTTGAAGATTATACAAAACCCCCTGAACTTTCCTAAAGTTTTACTTAAGCTTGGGGGCACATTCCGTTTCAAGGGTATGTCGAGAAAGAGCGGGTAGAGGATGCTAAATATAAAAACATAATGCTCGACCCTCACTATAACTTTGAAGTTTTAGTATAATGGTTAGAGGGACTAAATTTAATATGGTATCAGAGCAATCCAGGTTCGAACCTTACTGTCCATGAATTCAATGCAGAGTTCAAAAAATTATTATCGCTACATAGTTCAAGAATTTAATGTGAACTTAATACGAATTTAATGTGAATTATAGTTTTATATCCTAACAGAGGAAACAGAGAAAAGCGAAAGTTCATTAAGTTTTGTGAAACTCTTGAAAGTTGGGGGTGTCGCGTAGCGAAAATTTCGGCAGCATTTCGGCAGCACAATAAGAGAGTCAGGTCGCAATAGGAATTCCTATTTCACAAAGGAAACAAGAATCTTAAGCAAAATATCTTAACAAAGTTGGGTATCAGCTTTTCCTCTCATCAGTTCTAGGACTGACCCGTTGAGGGAACCTAAGTAAGATATTATAAATCACACAAAAGTGAGACAAACTAATTTTACGTGGTTCGACAAATTGCCTACGTTCACGGGGCAAGGAGGGGGAAGTCTATAATTAGAGGGAGAGAATACAACTAGGGTTTACAATCACACAAGTTAAACCCTCACACAAACTCTCAAATCGATCTCTCACAAAGGAGATGCCAAAAACTCTCTCAAAAAAAAAAAAAAAAACACAAAAGGACTACACAAAAATTCTCCTCAGCCAAAAAAAATCACAAAACCTCTTTCGCACTTTCTCCCGCAGCCGCAAAAACTCCTTGCATAAAGCCCAAAAAAAGCAGAGGTATTTATATCCTCAACTTCGGGTCTTGTGGAAACGAAAAAAAACGCGTTCGTTCATGTGGGTGTGGCCCACCTCCCACCTCACGTGTTCAAAAGGGGGAGGTTTCTCTAGAGTCAAGATCAAGGTGGTTTTGCATATTTATGTTTATAGACAACTTTGTTTATTATTCAAAAAAATCGATTCCTTCATTAAAAGTTTAATTTATTCATTCTTTTTTTTCTTTAAAAATCTTCTAATTTATGTATAAACTAGTGGAATGGACAAGAAAAAAAAATAATGAAGACAATAAACTCATTCCTACATTTCCATATTAAAGTGAAGTATAGTACTTAACTTTTTCTTTAATTTAATGCCCATGAGTATTCCCAAAGTACCTTTCAGAGTCCTCAAGAGGAAGATGTAGTTTGGGTTGATGTATAGTGCGACTTGTCAGACATATTGGGTCATATAAGACTTCCCCATTTTCTTCCCCAATTGACATATCCCCTAATTTGCGCAAGAGATATTGTATTGATTGATTCTTCAATTATTCGGAGTGTAAAGTGAAATTATATCAATTTCTGTTAAGGATCAATATTTTCAATTGGAAGAATTTATTGTTGACTTGGACTAATAAAATATCCAGGTTTCATTTAGAAAATACCAAATCAATAATAGTAATATATGTACAATTGTCACTTGTAGCAAAGACGATTCTTAATACTTAATTATAGGAGTGATCTCAAACTACTATGCCGACCAGTATGATGAATACATCGAATACATCGAATAGTTTGGGGAAGGCGTAAAAGAAAACAATTGAAAAAAAATTATAGCAAAAGAAGTGGTACCATTTGTCCTATATGTGCAAATAGAATTCAAATAGATCTTTCTCCAAAGGAGAACATGAACCTAAAATAATTGAAAGGACCCATTCAAGAACATGAAAATAACATCGTGATTTGAATCACGACAGAGCAATACAACAATGAAGGTTAATTCAAGAAATTAAGTTCAATAGTAAATTCTTTTTTCAAGGGAGGTGCCGGTGCCCAAAACTTATGTTTTATGAAAAGTATAAGAAAGATGACGGGGCTTAAATGATGTCCAAAAGTTGCAAGTGTATAAATAATCAAGTTATAGTATAAAAAGTTATTGATCCCATGAGGAAGGTGTTTTTAAGAGATAATTAGAATCAGTTCTTATGTTGTGTGCGTGACAATTAGGGGTGATGATTGAGTATGATTGTTGAGAAATATGATGAGTGTTATGAATATATGCAAAACAATAAAATAAAATTGAGAGGAGAGAAAGGAATCAAAGAAAATAAGAGGAAAGAAAATGGAAAATCAAGAATAAAAAATTCAAGAAAGTAAACATGGAGGATTCAATTAAAGATACGAGGAATGTAGAATTGAATCCACTAGCTAATTTTAATTATAAATTATGAACCATTCTCTTTTATCATATTTTACCTTAGATTTATTAAAAATAGACTATCAAACTATTTAAAAAAAGTATAACCTACCAAATTATCATCTAAGCAAAAATAGTATTCATGAAAAGAACAACAACTAGATAGTAATTCTAGAATTCATAAGCATAACCTATCAAACCACTCAAAATAAACATAGATTATCAAATTCTTCTTCTACCAGTTAGTTCTCTAGTTGATTATCCTATACATGATTATTTTAAGCGCAAGAGAAGAATTCACATAATATAAAGGAAATTAGGCTAGTTTCATACAATTCTAAGATCCATACAAGAATTAGTTCCACATCTTAAGAATCAAAAACAAAAAATGAAATAAAAAGAAAAGAACTAATTACAAAGATGAAAAATAAGAACAAAGAAAATTACACTATGAACAAGAAATAATCTAACTAAAATGCAAAAGAACACAAATGAAAATAAATCTACTCTACAAATTAAAAATGCAAAATAAAATAGAGATAAGAAAATAAATATACTCTACAAGATATGAATGTAAATCTTAACTAATAAGCAATACGGAAAGAAATTACTATAAAGAAATAAAAGAGAAAATAAAATCAAACCTTCACATTGATCTTCATCTTCATCATCATCATCAAATAATGAGAAGAAAATATGAAGAGGTGAAAAAAATTCTTTTATTAATTGTAATAAAAATTATAAATTTGGAAAGTCTTCTTAATTAAGAGTAACTCTCCTCTCCAAATAGAGTTATAAATTTTTTCACACCCTCAATCCCTCACTCTCTACCCCTATTTATAATATACATCAGTGAATTAGAGCCCTTGGATCCATAAGACCTTGATTTTTAGCCATTGGATTGTAACAGAATCGATGACATCGATGCGGGCATCGATACGGGAATCGATGGCCATGTTTCTCCATTTTCTGGCAGAATTTCTTCTTCCATTGGGCTTTTGGGCTTTTGCTTTTATTCTTCATTAATTCATTGTGCTTTTGTTGAGAGATAAGATCTTAGGCTTTATTCTTCATTAACATGCAATTAAAGATAAAAATAATTATTAGTTATATATTTATTCATGTAAAAATAGATAATGAAGGTATAAAATTGTAATAAACATGTGATTATCAAAAACCCCCTTCATTTTTATTAGAAAACAGAAATCCATTACAAAGAAAAAGAGAGAGAGGATTGGAGTCGACA